TGTAGATCATAAGCATATTTTTAACAATTTTCCAGGCAAATTTGCCTGGAAAAGCTTACAGATTAAGGGATAATAAAATTTTTTAAGATTAATATTTAGAACTCTTGGAATTATAAAAAAAGAATCTAAATTTTAAATTCAATAATTTTCATAAACCTTATGTTTTATTTTATCATGATATGTAACTTGAAAATCGACATAAAACATTCCCAGACAACAACTGAGACACTTCAATTATTGCTTGGACGGCGCTAACTGATTAGCACTAACTAATGGCCTAAATCATGTCTATATCCTTCTAGCCCTAACCCTAATTGACATCTGAGGCAAGAATGCAACGTATATGTTGTAAGTGGGAACGCAATTTAAGTAGATTTAACCAAACGTTTTATCTGTAGACTTGTATGTATATCAACAATTTTTACGCATAAATTATATGGATTTTTTATACAAAAGTTCTTATAAAAAAATAGATATATATAAATATACATATATATTAATTTTTTCAATAGCATTAATTCTTTCGAAATTAACCATTTTACAAGAAAAATTTTCCTTTTTTATTTAATGCTTTTATACATGATTCTGGTCAAGTTACAAGTAATTCATTTACAGTATCAATTAACAATTACAGAGTTAATCAACAATAATATAAGGGATCGATTTTACAAAGGCTTATGCTTTTCTAAACACTTCGAATTTTAAAGAAAATTTTACCGAAAGGTTTATCATTGCTATTCAAACTTTATTTTGGATGTCAAAAACTTTCACTTTTGCAAATATTCGATATAAATCATCAAACCTACTGTAACATCTCACCTTGTCCAGTATCTTGCTTAGTGCTAAATCACCCTTAAATCCTTAATTTGAAAACAAAAAAAATAACAGCTTTAATAATTTATTGCATTGATTTTAACAAATTTTATTGGTTTTGAATTTTACACTGTTGACTGAGAACGAACATATATTTTGATTTTTTTTTTTGTTTACTATCCAAAACGAAGTAGAATACACCCAAACTACGTAGTAATGTCATACTTCAAAAAGGTTTGGACCACAACCCTAATCCGTATCACCTAATAGTCGGAGGAACCAAGCATATACTTACAGTTGACGTAGACAATTGAAACCATAACTGTAGCTTTCATTAATTACCCATCGGTGTAGCTTCAGGCTGAACGTTATAATGTGGATCTAAAATCATAGGTCGTTGACTCATCATAACACTACTCGGTGGGACATGTACCATGTCGTGTGGGTATCGCATCATGGGGATACCTATTACGTAGCAAAAAAATAAATATTACAATTGGAAGATAATAAAAATTTGGCGTTATATAAAGATCCCAAATCAATATTATTTACCATGTTGATTTTGGTATGGTTGGTAAATTTGAGGATGTATACCGGTAGGAACGATGGGGGTGCGTCCAGGAGACTGAAATCCTTGTGAACCAAAATGTTCTATAAAAAGAGAATATGGTTAAATAACTTAAAATAATTATTTAAGAAAGGATGATTGATCGCATACGTGGGATCATTGATGACATCTGCGGACTATAAATCGCAGCTACGAAATTGGAAGTCAATGAAATATTAATAAAATACTATATATAAACCCTTAGGGTACAAATAACGACTAACAATAATTACTAACGTGGAGCGCCATTCGGTGGCATTGGTGCTGCAGCAGTAAAAGGGATACCTGGAACAAACTATAAAAATATATGCATATGCATATGTATATATGTAAATCAACAAAATAGATTCATCTTTATTTAATCAAAATAAATGAAACTTACACCTGGTTGTAAATATGGCAATGGAGTCGCTTGCTGCAATGGCATAGGTGGAACACCAACAAATTGAGTACCGGAAGGATATCGATAAGGAGCAGCCACTGGGTAAGCAGCAAAACCGAAACTTTGATTTGCAGCTGCTTGTGAGTAGATGTCTTCCTCGTAGTTGCTGGTGACTGTAAAATGATGCCTAAAAGGTCTTTGACCAAAAGGCCACGTAGGAGCTGTATATTAAGTTAGTATCATAATTCGATAAAAATCACATGTTATTTTAGTTTAACTTACGAATTGTACTAGGATTAGGTGGTTTGCTCTTCTGGAACGGACTAAAACCATCCTTAAGTGACGATATATTTTTTTTTAACTGACGATTACCAAAAAATGGTGACTATAGTGTAAAGAATAAATCATTTGTTATATAGAGAATTCAAATAAATATAAACATGCAAAGAGATGAGTTCTCACCGAATCGGGTGATCTTTTTTCCCCAGTACTAGAATTAGGAGTCTGAAGTGCACATAATAATAGATATGCACATAGAACGAATAAGAATAAAGTTGCAAAATAATCAAATTTAAATTTTAAACGTGATATGTAATGCCATACCGGAGTGAAGCTTGCCGCATTAGGATTAGGTTTCCATTCAGGTGCTTTAGCATTTAGCTTAGTGTTCGTCTGTGATGTTGCAGGAGTTCTGGTAGAAGGAAACTGTGGTGGTGCTTTATCAGCTGCTGAAGTAGGTTTTTCTGATATGATTTTTTCTGAAGTTGTCTTTGACTCTACATTCGACTTTTGTGGTTGAACTTCTTCAATCTTAATTGATGGTTTTACAAATTCTACCTTTGGTTCTGAAGTTTGAACATTGGTAACCTTTTCTTTTTGTTTGTTATCGTCCTTTTCTTTATCCTTTTCTTTCTCCGTTTCTTGTTTATCTTCATCCCTCGGTTTTTCTTTTTCTTTTTCAATATCTTTTTCTTTCTCATTCATTGCAGCAGCCTTTGCAGCCAGTTGTTGACGTTTTGTTTCATCTTTAGTCAAAATTGGAATGAGATCTTCAGGTAACGGTGAATTCAGCTGGATAAAAATTCATAAATTATCGAAATTAAAGTGCATCTACCGAATTTAAATATACAATGAAATTTCCACATAACACATAATTACCTTGAAATTTTGACCCCACTTAAGTAATTCGGCCATTTTACCATCCATTTCCTTTTTGAAAATCGCTTGTTTTCTTTGCTGAAGGCGTTCTTTTTCGCTTGTAGCAAACTGACGAAACGTTTTTACAATTTGTGCTGGTATTAAAGTAAAATACATATATATAATGATTGAGTCTATATTAATTGTTTAATGCAAGCCAAATTAACGAATAAATATACCTTCAATAGGTTTTCCTTCTGCTTCAGTACCATTTTTCTAATTATAATTGGTATTTAAAGATTAATAAAATGAGAATACAAATATTCAACACTTAAGAAAATTGATATAAAAATATAATTCTTACCCGTGGAATTTGAAGTGAAGCCATTACGTGTTCTGGAATTCGATAACTAGATAATGATGAGGGTGATGGTGCAAACGGTGGAATTTTCGGTATAGAAGATGAAGGAGAGGTAGGGTTTGTGGCAGGTTGTGCGGATTTTGTTGTAGGCTTTATATCTTCTGGAGGCTTAATTTTGGCATCTTTGGTAACTTCATTATTTGTCTCGGTCTTTTTTACAGCTGGCGCTACTCCATTTGGTTGTATTTGTTGCTCCTGTTGTTTTCGTAAGTGTGGTGGCATATATTTATTTGGATCCCTGCTACGAACAACCGCGCCATATCTTAATATTTATATCGAAGAAATAAATTTAATCAACCAATATTCACTGAAATATGTGTTAAGAATTTGCACGTGGAAGAATGAATAACCACCTGTCTTCTTCATCCATTTGATCTTCGACTATTTGACCACGTTCCTCAAGCATATGAGTGTTCGTCGTGGATTCCTTTAGCAGTTAAAAAAAATCAATTTACATTGTTATATAATACGTGAAATTGAAATTAATATAATATACCCGTGTTATCTCGTTAGCTAAATTAATGGCTTTTCTTTCTCGTTCTTTATAATCCGCTTTTGATCGATCTAATTTCGTTGTATAGATCTCTTCGTTATAATCGGTTTTCAAACCGAATAATTGTTCATTAACAGCAAACTGATCCCAACTTGCATTAGCAGACTCTGGGTTTATGTCATCCGTAATATATAGAATTAAGGCATTATAACATGATATAAATGATTGTAAACATAATAACAAGAAATGGTTTACTAAGTAAACATGAAAGGATATTCTAAACCCTTCATAGTTTCTCCCGTTTCATCTGGTGTCCATTTGTGAAGTTCACGTTCTCGAATCTCACTCCGGCCACTAATATCGGAATCCGTTCTAAATCCTAAAAACTTGAAAACTTAATTAAATAGGTTCAATAACCGAATATCAATGCAATTGAAAAAAGCAATGAATCATTACCTTCACGTTCGGTTGAAGTTTTTTCAGACAAGGAAAAATCTACACCGGTAGCGTAAATTTCCATCAAATCTCTGGCAAATATAATAAATTCATTTATCATACTATTAGGTGTGGTCTTTTCATCTTGCTTAGAGAGGACTTTTCGAGCACATTTCAAGACAACACCCAATTCACTTTCTGTACAAGCGCGGGATAAAAGACCTTGATATTTTATGCCACCTTTGACAGTAACAATAACATTAATACCCTACATGATTTCAATTAAGATTTAGATGTTGATACTCATTATAATTTACAATAAGTAATCAAATAAAACAGATATAGTTCATATATTTTATAATTTTGCAAAATAATTAATATTCATGAGAATCACTTGCCACAAAATTTGCTAGCAAAAACAAAATACGATCATGCATGTGTTTTGCAGCAACCTCGTCGTGAACAACTTGTTCGATAGTTTTAAGGGAGTTTGAACCAGAAGATGGTGTGTTATTATGATGATTAGCAGACGGTTGAGAAGTTGGAGGAATTGGTTGATTTCTCGGTGTGTTATTAACGAGATGTTGTGAATTGGTATTCCATTTGTTTTTAGAGTTCCGGTTGTTATGGCTAAGAAAATGATATGTTGAGACATACCTTGCTAAGAATACACATTGCAGAAGACGTTTACAATATATTACCTTTGATTCGAGTTGGGGTTAAAAGATTGATAACCGTCTTGCCTCCGTCCCCCCTTTGGTCTCATTGTAGCTGAAGACATGTTATAAATGTTCCCTATAAGAATATTATAGAGAGAGTACTAAAGCTTTAATAAAAAAAAGATAATAATAAAATTTCTTGGCAGTTGAAATATCACGATCCTCATAGATGGCAAACGTACCAGTACAAGTTCCACAGAAATATCGGCTTTTTTTTCGAATGAGAAAAAAAAAAAAAAGAAAAAAAAAACAAGATCGGCGGATCAAATACAAAATTGTTGGGAATGAAAACTTGTTTTAAAAAGAGTGAACTAGAAAAAGTTCAACAAGTATAAGGGTTGCGAAAAGGAAAACGGTGATGTGAAAAATTCAAATATTACAGAAATGAATTGAAGATTTTCTTTTAGAACCAAGCTTTGGCCCTTTACCCTGATTGACAGATAAGTCAATTTAGCTGATAAACTGATATGGTACTATATATCTTGCATAATAATAGTAAATATATAATACAGTAACTATAATGAACCACATAATCACCTACGTATTATCACCTGATTAATGTTATGCCACGACAGTGAAGCAAAACATTCATTTTTGATACTTTTGCACCTACTTTTTTGATACATCTAAACATACCCTAAAATTTCTATACTTTTATTAACTTTTACTATAATAACGTGCGATCTTATTGGTTAGTTTTAGGGTATGTTTAAATGTATCAAAAAAAGTAGGTGTAAAAATGCACGATTTGGTGTAACACAATATAACGGCAAACATGTTCTGTTTGTTGATTGTCTACGTTTCCGAAACTTACCAAATTTGTGTTGTCCGGCCCAAATTATACACTTAATCTTGCCCGAAGTGGTATTGTTACACCGCATTAAAAATTGCAAAAATATCGATTTACATATAATCGATATTTTTTCACTGTTATTTCTAAAAATAGTACATATTAATATTTCTCGCTGGCATATTTGTTACGTTTTTTAAGCTTTATGAATAAATTATAACTCCTGGTCGGGTTTTGAATAACGTTCTTTTCCACATTTTGAGTTGACAGTAACCTATCATGTAATTAGAAGTTCAATTATCATCATCAACTTATTCAAAATTCTCAATTATACAGAAAATACTAAATAGAGAAATGAATTCGAACGAATATTTTCAAGAAACAAATGACGGTCATTGTTTCTTGGAAAGATTCATCTATTTAATTTAATGTATTTCTTCATTAGTGATCTGAATCAGCTAAAACGATTAAAAAATAATTAACTAGCCCAATTTGAACAAATTTATAAACTATTTAATTTAGGTAATTTACACATTATACAGCTAATTATTATTATCGATATTATTATTAATAAAAATTAGCTGTTTTCCCATGGTCTCTAAAAGATTCAGTGGAATAAACTAATACGCATTCAGCAACTAGTCAACTAAATGTTAAGGCGTCACCCACTCGCCACTCGGCTTGGGCTTTATTATGCAAAAGTGGTTTCACCTAACGTGATCTGCATAGCAGGTTTTACTGGCTCACAACTCGGGTTTCATCTTGTATTTATTTCTTATTTATTATTGTTACATAACGATAATGGTACTAACGCTAAATATTTATTATCGTTATTCAAATTAGGGCTTAGCATTAGCGAGAGTTGTTTATATATGATAGGTGATTGGAAAATAGTGACGTCAAAGAATCACAAAGGTTGAGAAAACGCAGCTCTATACGTATCATAAGTTGCACCATTAGCGGTTAAATCCTAATTTTAGGGCTCTAAAAAAAGGGCCTCTAGAATACTATACTACTATAGCGAAGTTTATGAAAAAAGGGTTCGTTTTTAAAACCCTATTAGGAATAATATGTATAACTCAATCAAGATCTGTGCCGACGATCCATCAGGAACGGTATTTTTGTAGTTCTATCTCAATTAATCTTTCATAACTAGCTAAATACGTATACGTATACTATATACGTATACAGGTTACCCCAACCCATTTGGATTAGACAATTATGTTGATATATGCGAGGGTTGATACGTAACAGCGGGATAGTTTTTATATAGCCTGAGGCTATTTTTTTTTAATAAGAGGTTGATATGAACGGGTAGCCTGTACTTGATTTTATATTTGCCATTTTAGGTATAACAACTTAATTATTAACAAGAATTTTAAAACTATTGAGAGATAAATCGCGGTTAAAGAGTATAAAAAATAATAAATTTAATAGTAGAAATTGTCGGAAGTTAATATAGTTTTGGAATGCAGATAGCTTACAATGAAAAGTTTTTTTATGCCAAGTAAAAATTCCCTGAGTTTCTAAAAAATTTTATAGAACAAGTGGTTCTAGTGGTGATAAATTTATTAAAATTGATTTAGTAGATTGTGAGTTATTCGTATTTCTCCTTCGTAACTATATAATTTTTACATATTGCCAGAAATCGGCATTCCAACATTGATGAAAGTATTAGTAATTCTCCATCGATTTTTACTATGTTATACCCTTCAATTGCGATCTACAACTTAACTATGATCAGTTCTTAATCAAACATTATTTTGATGTACTTTCAATAATCTTATATGTATTACACTTGTCTTAATTCTTGGTATTAGACGTCTTTTTTTAATCACCATCCAATCCAAAAAAGAACTTTTGCATTGTGAACTTGATGGGTATAATCGATATTAGAACAAGAAAGTTGTTATTGACACGGAAAATTTTACAAAGTCGATTTAACTGTCACATCGGGACCAGCTCTAGAGTGTGCATTTAGAGAGGGCTGCAATTAGAGAACACGGCTTTAATAGCCTAGAAATCATGAATTTGATTGGCTAGTAATCACGTGGATGCATCTATGGAGTTTTTATAAGTGGGCCAAAACAATTATCGATAAGTCCCACCATGGGCCCGGACTTATATCATGCATTTAGAGGGGGTGATGCGTTTAGGGAGATGCATTTAGGGGGGTCTGACTGTATGATGAAAAGCTGATCAAGAATTCGTAGGGTTTACTAATGTTATATATTGAGTGATGTTTTTCTGTGGTGGCAAAATACCGATTCCATTCATGATAAAGTATGAATTCCGCAATTTGGCCAGAATCAAATACAGTCTGCTGTGAATGCAAAAAATAATCTCTATATATGAACAATTCATTATATTTAATGATTTATTTACGTTAAAGTACTGTATTGTACATATAAAAATAGGTAATGCCACATGGTACGTACGTATTATTTTTGTATTATCTTTAAAATCCCCATAACAATACGTAATTATGGATACCCCCTATAATGTTTAATTCATTTTTTTTGAAAAATTTATAAACAAATTAAAAACCTCAATATAGATTGTCAACACATTAATCAATAGACGAAAAATGACGAAACGTAGATTGTATAGCGTTTCTAGAAACTTTTCCGAAGGTCCCCTATAATATATTTGTTCCTTTAGCAGTTCGTTGTGATTCATCGAGTCTTCCACCAGATGAAGTTAATTGGATGAGGTTGGTCAGAGTGCAGTTTATACAATGTCATGTATACATTTGAACAATTTAAATTTCGACAAATACAAGATTGATTTTTTATACGTGACTTAACATTGCGTGAAGTATGTTCTGATGTGTTTCGTGATCATTGACGGATACCAATGTCATTGTTGTTTGAGAACTTTTACTTAATATTCTGAGTATATATTACACGACCTATTCTATTACGTATATAATAATGATCTCGAAAATATATAGTATGGCTCAATTTTATCAATAGATGGATGATATTGATTGGTTAGGACTAATCTTTAGGAAATCTAGGTTTTAGAACTTTACAAACTAGGATCTGACCTCAAAGTCTGTACAATAGAACCTAAAAGCCTTAGAAAAAAACTAGATCTGAGCGAACGTTCAACACCTATGGTGCATTTAGAAACCCATTTTTTATAGATATTTTTTGATTCGAATTTCTCACGTTATAGTTAGTACCGTATAGCATAGACCACGGTACCGTATCCTCCGGGAATATATCCCATGTAAAGATGGAAACCACTTATTATAGTACCCGGGCAATATACATAGAATATATTGTAGCCAGGTATCGCAGTCTGCACCGCACGGTATTTAGGTTAAACTTAAGGTGTAAAAAGAATTTTTGGGGTGTAAAAGATTTTTGCTTAGAGCATCACACACCAATTAATTGGTCAGTTTTAAAATAATGTATACATAGTATTAATGATTTTTACTTTAGTTGAGAAAAAGTTTTTCTATTACTTACCAGCTTCGAAACTAGTCTGTCTAATATCATTTATAAAATAACTAAGAAAATTTTGATTATAATACGCTTTAATTTAGCTTGAGATATGGATGAATAAACTAAAGTTTTCAATAGTTAATCATGAGTATTTCACTAACTCAGTTTTTATACTACACATTGGATCAAAACTCTTCACAGACGGGCCAGTATGGAGTAAATTTCTTTTATAAATAATATTGCAGTTCACATTATTACCAAAAGTATCAATCTAGAAACCCAGCTCTTCTTTAGTTAATATTCCCAATTCATCCTTGATAGGTTTCAATTCCTCCAAATACAGGTTATATTGACTAGAATTTTCAACCTTTTGTTTGACACCTTCAAAAATTCGAACAGCAGTAGAAAAATCATTTACACGTCTGGCGGCTCTAAGGGATGCTTCAATGACCGATGGCGCCGGCACTAAGTCATAAGCAAAACAGTTGTTAAGGCCTCTTTTCAATTCAAACTGATCGTCAACTCCGTCAAAAAATTTCACATATCGTTCAGTAAACGCTTCAAAAGATTCAGTTTCATGATTACTGGAATAAGAACGTGCGCCTTTCGGATACAAAGGATGTGAAGAGATTGTAACTAACAAATTATCTGTCGAATATCTATTTATTATTTGAAAAAAACATACCAACGCACAAAGATTGGCCGACGCAAGGCGAGCGAGCATGAATTAGAACGTTGGTCAAAAATGATTTTGGGAAAGTACGAGAGATAGCACCAATTCGATTCATTTCGCCAAGAACTCTATAACGTAAAATAAACCGATAATCTATTAAACGTTGCAAGAGTGAAGATTTACTAATTTACTCATTATCCTATTGGGCGATGATATTTCTGTTCCTGATTGGATAAAGTTTAAAACGTTAATTAATAAACTGTAAAGCTATTTATGAATAATAAATATGTTAAATTATTTTTTTTAATGTTAAGATGAGTACTTGCGACCCAGATAATAAATATGTTAATATTACTTTAAATCTGTAATTATGTATAAAAAAAAGATTCGTTGTAATAGTTTTATCAAAATAGTTTTTTTTTTTTTTTTTGTTAAAAGTAAAGTATAATATTTTAAAATTATATATAAACTTGATGGTATATTTTTTTTGTAATTTAAATTATGAAAATTTTACTAATTAAATATTTTTTGAGCTTCTAAATAAAGTCGTAGAGTGATTCTAACAGTAGTAAAATCATTAAACTTAATTTAAAACTCATTAATATATGAATTTTTAAAGATTAAATATAAAAATTTATTATTAAAATTTTCTTATAGTTTTAGAAATTAGTTAATTAAAGGTAGAGGGTAATATATTGAAATTATATATAAACTCAATGGTAAAATTTTTTTATATTTAATTTTATAAAAATTATATTAAGTAAACTAATATTAATTTATAAGAAAAGTTTGTAGAGTAGGTCTTTCTGATTTTAATGATAGTAAATTTATTAAATTTGATTAAAAACTCAGTATGATATAACTTTTTAAAGATTAGATATAAAAATTTATTAATTAAATTAACTTATAGGGTTATATAAATTAACCAATCAAATTTAGTACTTTTGTACTATCTAAAAAATTTTGAGCTGTTCTAGAAAAACTTTGTGATATATATAAGTATATATTTTTTAAATATAAT